ACCTCCTGGCCGTGAGCCCATCAACAGGAGCAGATCGCCTCCCACACCCAAAGGGGAGCGGGAAGACGCCCCTCGCCGTCCGCGCCAGGTCGTCGCCGACGCGAGGGGCAGGCAGCACAACGTCATGGTCGCGACCGTCACCGCCTGGGGCCGTTCTCCGCATGGGAGAAAGGGAACGGGGGGCGCCACGGCCAACAGCGCGCCCCCGGAGCCGTAGGGAAGTCATCCCCCCGACGACGACGCGCCAGCGCCGCCGTCGCCTTTCTTGTCCTTGTTCTGGTTATTGTCCTTCTGCCTCTTGTGGTCCGCGTCGTGCTCTTCCTTCAGGAGCCTCTCCGACTTCATGATGATCGCCTGAGTCTTGCGACGCTCCGCCATCTCGGCATCGAACTTGGAGGTGACCACGCCACCGCTGGTGTCGAAGGCGTGCGACATGTAGGTCTCCAGCCCGTCAAAATCTGGATTCCGAGGGTTCTTCTTCACCGCCCGTTGGATCATCAGGGCGCGCCTCGCAATCATCTCAGCTGGCGCTGAGTTGGGCAAGTTGATCTGGTCAAACACCACCATCATGTGCAGCATACTCATCAGATGGTAGTGCTCCAGCGCCACGGCGGTCCTCTCGCCCACCGTGCTGCTGCGCACCCAGTAGTTGTGGTATGTCCCGAACTCGTAACACGCGGCCGAAACACCGCGGGCGAGCTCGAGCACAGCCCTCGAATTCTCGAAGGGGAAACCATCGGCATGCACGGCCTGCTTCATGGCCCGCACGGCGTCCTTCAACGTCATGGAGCGGAAACCCGTGGTCGGATCCAGGCTCAGCGGCAGCAGCCTCGAGTCCCGACTCTCACCACACAGCTTCTCCTGCATCCACTTGTTCTTGTCGGCCAGCCTGACTCTCTCCGCTGTGGTCCACTCCTCACCTCTCTTGACCAACGAGACGGTGGTGCGATGAACTGAAAGCTCGGGGCCACCCTGGATCGCGTCATCCACCGCCTCACCGCAGAAGCGGGTCGAGGGATCGGAGTAGACCAGAACCGTAGCACCATCAGGAGCAACCTCACCATTGCGCATCACTGGAGCAGCCCCTACGCCGCCCAAGATCTCAGCCAAAGCCCTCGCTTCAGCATGAATGCGGGCTAGGTCAGGGGCAGCAACGGGATTGTCAAAGGCGTAGACGTTCAGGCCCTGCGGAAAAGGCGCATTGCGCGCAAGCGGAAGCAGGCCCGGTACAACAGCACGGTCGGCGACGTCGATCGCCCTCACCGAAAAGTCGGGCGTAGACCAGATCCACCTCGAACCATCGAGCTTGACGAGAAGAATACGATGGTGATGCGGAATTCCATCATCTGGGTAATGTACCAGTATCTGACGCTCAGGAATGTCCAGACTCATGCTCGCGCAAGCTCAGCACGAAGCCTGCGGCTCGAAGGAGTCTCCACGTCCTGCACGGCGAGCGCGGGCGGGAGCACGAAGCGGCTCTCCGCCCCTGCGGCTCCGGAAGCCGCCTGACGGCAGCAGCGGCACCGAGAGAGGAGGTAGATCGTGAGGCCCACGACCAAACCAACTAGCACACCCAGCGTGAACAGTCGCACTCCAAGGTAGAAGCACGACTCGTCTGGTTCCCGCTGGGGAACCTCGCAAGGGGTACACGAAGGCGAGGCCTTTGGAAACTTCTTCACCAACACCTCAATGAGGTCCTCCAGCCTCTGCAGCCGACGACCACTCACCGAAGGCGCCTCACACGGCACGACAGGCGGGCACGTCAGCGCGGGGCACTCCGCGCAACGAGGGCACTCCGGTATGACAGGGAGTGCCGGGCAGACTAGGTCGGGACAGTCAGGGCAGACATGGCCAGTTTGGCGACCCCAATCGTAGAAATGTCCCACGTGCAACAGTGCGTTCAGCAGGGGCGCAATCCCAGCTGTAACGACCATCACACGTCTGAGCCAACAGGACTACGGCGCAAGCATTACCCATGTTGCTCCCCTCCCCCTTTGGGTGGAGGGAAAAGGGAAACAAAGTTACTGGGCATATATAAATTTCTCCATCTCTCTCTCTCTCACCCTCTTTCTCTCTCTCTCTTATCTCCGTCCTTCCCTCCTTCCCCTCCCCCTCGCTCTCTCACTCTCTCCCCTCTCTCTCTCTCGCCCCTCTCTCCTCCCTCTCCTTTCTCTCCTCTCTCTCTCTCTGTTTCTTTCTTTCTTTTTCTCTCTCTCTCTCTCTATCTCTTTATCTCTCCCTCTCCCGCCTATCCTCTCTCTCTCTCTCGCTTTCTCTCTCTCTCTCTCATTCTCTCTCTCTCTCTCTCTCTTTTTCTCTCTCCTTCTCTCTGTCTTGCATCAGCGACCCAGGGACCACTCCGAATTTGGGACCAATGACCACCGAGTTTCGGCGCACCGGCCGACCGTCCGCCGCGCGCCACAAGAGGAGGCGTGCCCATCAAATGCGCAAACTTCTCCGTGCCCAAACAGAAGGGCGACAGGCCGCCCGGGCACTGGCGACGGGGCCCCCCCGCCCCCCCCCCCCCAAACAAAAAACAAGCACAGCGGGGAGGAGGGAGAGAGGGAGGAAGCGAGAGAAGGGGAGAGAAGGGGAGAAAGGAGGGTGGGAGGGAGGGAGGAGGAAAGCGGGGAGGGGAGGGGAGAGGAGACAGGGAGCAAAGAGAGAGAAGGGAGAGGAGAGGGAGGGAGGAAGGAGAGAGGAGGAGGAAGAAACAGGCGAGGCGCGAGGCAAGGCGCTACGGCAGGGGCGGCCCGGCAGGGAGCAGGGAGGGGTGCGAGGGGCGGGGGGCGCAGTGGCGGTGGTCGCGGCAGGTGGTCGTCGCGGTGGTCGCCGCGGTCGTGGTGGTGGTCGTGCTGGTAGCGGAGGAGGGAGGAGGGAAGAGGGAGGACGGATGAGGAGGGAGGAGGGAGGGAGGGAGGAGGAGGAGAGGAGGGAGGAGGGAGGAGGGAGGAGGGAGGTGAGGAGAGGAGGGGAGAGGGAGGAGGGAGGAGGGAGGGAGGGAGGAGGGAGGAGGCGTTCCCCCTCTGGCACTGCACTCGAGGACGCGGTCGCGTCAGACCTGAAAGCAGTCGTTGCTGTGGCGGTGGTGGTGGTCGCCGCGGTGGCGCTCGTGGTGGCCGAAATGGTCGTTGTAGTGGCCGTGTTGACGGTCTTCGCACTGGTGGTGTGGTCGCGTCGCAGCTGGGATGAAGTCGGACATGTCGCCCTGCAGGCGGATTTTGGACGAAAAACAAAGATAGTCAACAATATTCCAAGATGGTCAGAAATAGTCAAACAAATCGTCCCCAGATTTTTTGGTTGACTATTTTTAAGTTCCCCCCCTGTAGAGGGACAGGCCCGACTTAAAGCTGGGAGTGGTCGCGGTGGCGGTGGTCGTCGTCGCGCTGGCGGTTGGGGGGCCGGTTGGCTGTTCACGCCGCGCTAAGCAGCATCTCCGCGCTTCCGAAAGCCAAGCGGCGCTGGGTCTTCCTCCAAGCGGCCGTAAGAGCGGACGAAGGCGACCTGCTCGTCGGCTGGCCTACCCCCTCACTTCAAGACGGCCAGGATCAGCTCCGTTCGGGATCCGCCTCCTCCTCCTCCTCTTCCTCCTCCTCCTCCTCCTCCTCCTCCTCCTCCTGGGCAACCGCCACCCCGTCCGTGCGAGCCCTGGCCTGCCTGCGGGCGTTGTTGTCGATGTGCTCGCAGGTTGCAGACCACGCCACGCAGACGAGACTGGTGGTCACGGGGTCGCGAGTGGCCGCGCCCCCCTCGCGCGCGCCAGTGTCGGGGTGCTGGCGATCCCAAGCAGGGAGGGTCGTGTTGCTCGGTCGTGGCCTGGTGGCCAGCCTGGGCGTAGAGCCACGGCGCGCTCCAATCGCGCAGGGGATTGTGTCTGTAGTCCCTGCTGGCACTTCCTGGCATGTCAGCCCTTGACGTCCAGTGCTGATACCTCCCTACGCAGTGAACCGTCCTGTTTACGGTGCCAACAGCGCGCCCAGGGCGCAGACGTCGCAGCAGAGGCGCATGCGCAGGTTGGCCAAGGAGTCAGCGTTTGGGAGGGCTTCGTCGCCTTCCTCCGAGGGAAAAGCCAGAATGCTTGTGTTCCCTACCTAGGCTCTGCCTAGAGGGTTCTTACTCGCTGGGGGCAATGTTCCTCGCCCCGGGCGGTTCCCCCAGTATCCGCCCCGCGGTTCCCCCAGCTGCGCCCCCTTAGCTTATCTTTGCTTATCTCATCTTAGCTTAGCCCAGCTTAGCTTAACTGAGCTTAGCTTAGCTTAGCCTAGCTTAACTTAGCGCAGCCTAGCTTAGCTTAGCTTAGCCCAACTCAGCTCAGCAAGCGCAGCATTAGCATTATCATATCAGAGCATCGCATATCATAGCATATCACACTGCATCATAGCATAGCGCAACATAGCATGCCATCGCATAACATAGCATGCCACAGCTTAGCATAACACAGCGCAGCCTAGCATATCATACCATATCACATCACATCATGTCATAGCATAGCATGCCATACCATAGCGCCGCATATCATATCATATCATACCATAGCATAGCAGCATAGCATAGCATCTTCAGCACCGCCAGTAAGCGTACATGTAGGTGTAGATGTAGCTGCATATGTAGATATGCATCTCGCTGTTGATGTTGATGATGACGTAGATGCAGATGTAGATGTTAATGTAGCTGTTGGTGTAGATGTAGATGTTGCTTTCCTAGATGCTCCAACTCCTAGGTAGGGTCGCACTGGGATAATTTGTTCGTTTGCTCGTTTGTGTGTCTCTCCCTCTCTCTCTCTCTACATATCTGCACTTCTCCATCTCTCTACACTTCCTTCCTTCTCTCTCTCTCTGTCTCTCTTCGCCCGCTGGCCTCTTCGCACCTAGGAGGTCCTCAGGACGAGGGGCCCCAACCAACGATCCCTTCCTACCCTCGGGCCCCCATCCTCTTCCTCCTCCTCCTCCTCCTCCTCCTCCTCCGCCCCCGCTTCCCTGACCTCCTGCGCCCCCGCTGGCCTCCTCGCCCGCGGCGGCGGCTCTGGCGGCGGCGGGCGCCGAAGCGGCGGCGGGCTGCGCCGCCGGGCCGCCCGGAGCTGCCAGGGCGGGCGCCGAAGCGGCGGCGGCCTGCGCGGCGCGGCGCGGAGGAGGACGAAGGGGCGGAGGAGGAGGAGGAGGAGGACGAAGAGGACGAAGAGGACGAAGAGGACGAAGAGGCGGAGGAGGACGAAGAGGACGAAGAGGCGGAGGGCGGAGGAGTTGTGCTTTCGGTCGGGCGCGAGTTAGCAGGGGGGTGGGGCATAGATTGGGGGGGGGAAGCAGAAGGGGGGGGGGGGGGGGGACGAAGAGGCGGAGGAGGAGGATTTTGTTGTTCTGGGCGCGAGCTAGTGGAGGGGGGAGGGGGGGGCATAGATTGGGGGGGGGAGGCAGAAGGGGGGTGGGGGGGGAGGTGCCCTTTTCGGGGCCCAGAGGCCCCCTCTGGGGCCCGAGAAGGCCCCCCTGCAGAATGGCGTCGGACGAGGAACGGCGAAGATTACAGTCAAAACGTATAGTAAGGACGCGAGGTAAGGACGCAAGACCCTTGGAGGCCGAAGTTGGATTTTTTGGGGCGGGGGGCGGCCAGTGAAAACGGCGAAGGACGGGCCGCAGAGGCAAGGACTCAAGGGTACCCTAGAGGAAGGCGCGCGTCCTTACTAGGCGCGTTGACTGTAGTTCCGAACGAACGCGATCAGCCGTCGCTGGCCTGACCAAGTTTCTACAAGGGAGGCCAGAATCCAGGGGAGGGCTCCACCCTCCCTCCCACCACGAAATCCTAAGAAGGAGGGGCCAGAAACCAGAGGACCACCCCCCTCCCCAAGGGCTCCCAACTTCGCGCTTCGCGCTGCGCGCTGCGCGCTGCGCGAAGTGCGAATAGCTTCGCGCTCTCGCGCCGCCTCCCAGGGGAGAAGAGGGGGACGAGGAGGAATCGGAGCCGAACCGCGCAGCGCGAATAACTTCGCGCCCTCGAGGGCGCCCTTGCCCCCCCCCCCCGAGCCGTTTCCCCACCCCCGCCCCGCACAGGACCGGGGGCCTGGGATCCCCCCCCCATCCAGGAGAATCCTGCGGAGGGGGTCCTGAAAGGGCCCCTTTTTCTGTAGCCCTCGCTGCCGCGGAGGCGGAGGAGGGGAGGAAAGGAGGACGAAGAGAGAGGAGCACGAGGATGGATCCGCTCCCGCGCTCACAGCTTGACCCGCCCGCCTCTGACCGCCGCTGACTTACCCTTTCCTTGCCCTGGCGGCGGCGCGGCGGCGGCCCCTCGGGAGGAGGAGGAGGAGAAGGAGGAGGAGGAGGAGGAGCAGGAGGAGGAGGAGGAGGAGGAGGAGGGGGGGCGAGGCAGGAGGAGCAGGAGGAGGAGGAGGAGGAGGAGGGAGGAGGAGGAGAGCAGGAGCAGGAGGAGGAGGAGGAGGACGTGGAGGAGGAGGAAGGGAGGAGGAGGAGGAGGACGTGGAGGAGATGGACGTGGAGGAGGCCCTCCTCCTGGAACGAGGGCGGACCGTCGCGGAATCAGGGCCGCCTCCGGCGCAGCTGCGGCAGCGCCGTGATGCGGCCGCGCTGGAGCGGCAGCTGCGCGCACGGGAGGGGCTGCGGCAGCGACGGGCCAGGCAACCTCCTCCTCCTCCTCCTCCTCCTCCTCCTCCTCCTCTCCTCTCCTCCCCCTCTCTCCCCTCCTCCTCCTCCTCCCTCTCCTCCCCTCCTGCTCCCCCTGCTCCCCCTGTCGGTGACCCTTTCCCAGCCCGACCGCCCGCACGCCGCCGCCGGAACACCGGCAGCGCGTCGGCCTCGAAGCCCAGTGCCCCATCCCTCGCATCAGACGACGACGCCGACGACGCCGACGACGCCGACGCCGACGACGCCGCCGACGCCGACGCCGCCTGGATCCTCCGTCGCATCACCAGACGTGCTCGTAGGCCCGATCGGGCGCTTCGCTCGAGATCTGCATGCAAATGGCTACCCTGATGCTGAAAGGAACCTCATCAGTTACAGGTATTGATGGCTGGCGTTCTCCTGAAAACGCGGCTTCCGCCGTAGCGCCGAGTACACTCGTCTTAAACATGTCCAACAGCTGCCAGGATGGAGTCCATATCGTTTTTAAGCTGCGGCTCTAACATTCGCACCGCGCGCCCTGGTCGAACAAAGCGGCAGTCACACGGCTGGCGGATGGTTTTCATAATGCGGCTCTCGCCTTGGCGCCGCGGACATTATTTTCAGACGTTCCCACAGCAACTGCAAGGGTGAAGGCCGTTTCGTTTTCAAAGCGCCATTATCTCTGCAAACTCTATGACCTCAAAACCCAACTGTGCAACAGTTACACGGGTAGAGAACGACTTCTTTTCAAACGGGGGCTATCGCTGGAGACTTCCGCTACTGATGTAGCACCCGCTGAGCATGTACAGCACATGCACGGATGGAGCCAGCTCCTTGAACATCCGGGATCTCGCGTGACACTTCCCTGAGCTCTGCCATCCGATCTCTTTGCGATGACGTTCGCTAGAACTAAGTCGGGCGTGTCCCCCTACAGGGGGATTTGGGACGAGAAGATAAAAAAAGGCCCCAACACAATACTGCCAAATGGTCAAAAGATGCTCAGAACATCGTCCCCAGACTAATTGTTGACCAGTTTGGAACTTCCCCCCTGTCGAGGGACACGCCCGACTTGAAGCCAAGAGGGCTGGACTGGAGGGTGCACCCTGTGCACAGCAGGGCCTGGCCCGAGTGGCAGGCCCTCGCGCCCGCGCCCGTCCGCCGAGGAGTGAGCGCTTCGCGCAGCGGGAAGGCGTGCTTCTGTAGGGGACCTCTCGGGAGGAGGCGCTGGGGACGATCTGGGGCATCGCAGCATCGTTGGTGCATCCTCGGTTTGCCCTGGTACTCCTCCGTCCCCCTCCCCCGCCTCGTCCCTCGTCCCTCATCCCTCCTCCCTCCTCGTCCCCTCTCCCTCCTCCCTCCTCTTTGCCCTCCTCCTCCTCCTCCTCCTCCTCCTCCTCCTCCTCCTCCTCCTCCCACTCCTCATGCTCCCTCTTTTTCCTCTCTCAGCTCCTCCTCCTCCTCCTCCTCCTCCTCCTCCTCCTCCTCCTCCTCCTTTCTCGGAAGCCCCGAGTCAAAAGGGAAGGAGGCCCGAGAAGGGGGGGGGGATGGGGAGGGAGGAGGCGAAGGATCGAGGATCGAGGTTTCTGAGCGTTGCTGGTCGCTCGCCGGCCTCCGGAGGCCTCCGGAGGCCTTCTCCGGGAACCTCCGCTCCCCAGACCCCCCCAGGGCCCGAGGGACCTTCAGGGGAGGGGGAGAAGGGAGGGTCGGAGGAGGGGGGGTGGGGTAAGCGATGAGGAGGGGAAGGGGAGGTGGAAGGAAGGGGGGGATGGATAGGGGGAGGGGATAAAGGGCAGGGAGAGGGCGTGTGGAGACGAAGTGAGGAAGGAGGAGAAGGAGAGGGTGTGGCATGAGGATGAGGAGAAAGGGTTGGGGGATGGGGAGGGGGCAGTGGTTACTTGGAAGGGAAGGGGGGATACGTCGGGACCGTTCTTTCCCTTTCCCCTCCCCTCCCCCTCCCCCTCCGCCTCCGCCTCCCCCCCCCCCTCCCCCCCGTTACCGCGCCCCCTCCCCCTCGCCCCCCTCCTGCCCACTCCCCTCCAGCCTTGCACACCCACTTGTCCTCCTCCTCCTCCTCCTCCTCCTCCTCCTCCTCCTCCTCGACCGCTCTCGGCCCCGACGAGGACGGACACAAACGACGGACGAGGAGGACGACGAGAAGCACGAGGGGACGGACGGACGACGCAGGCCGACAACGACGGGAGCGACCGACGACGACGCCGACGGCCCCGGGGGCGGCCGCGCCCTGCTGCCCGAGCGCCGAGCGCCTCTGCAGCAGCGACAGCGGCGGCGCCAGCCTCGCAGCTGCTGCGCCCGCCCCGGCGGCGCGGGCCGCCGCGCCGGCGAGGCACTGATAGGGGGGGGGGCTGCTGCTGCCGCTGCTGCTGCTGTTGCTGCTGCTCCACCTCCTCCTCCTCCTCCTCCTCCTCCTCCTCCTCCTCCTCCTCCGTCGCCCCTCCATCGCCCCTCCCTCGCTCCCCCCACCTCCTCCTCCTTCTCCTCCTCCTCGTCGTCCTCCTCCTCCTCCTCGTCCTCGTCCTCCTCATCTGCCTCCTCCTCCTCCTCCTCCTCAGCCTCCGCCTCCTCCCCCGCTTCCCCCCCTTCCTCCTCCTCCTCCTCCTCCTCCTCCTCCTCCTCTCCTCCTTCCTCCTTTCCCTCCCTACTATCTCCCCCATTCCTTTTCCTTATAGATAAATTCTCCCTGTCGCACCCCGGTCGCCTGGACTTCCTCACCATTTAGGACCTGAAGCTTAAACAATGGCAACAGTTTCACGGATGGAGGGCGGGTCGCTTTCAAATGTGGCCTCGCTGTAGCGCCGCGCACACTCGTTTTAAAACATTTTAGCAACTTCACGGATTTAGGGCGGGTCGTCTTCAACATGTGGTTCTCGCCTTAGCGCCGCGCACATTCGTTTGAAAAGATGCAAGAATGTCACGGATTGAAGCGGGTGGCTTTCAAATGTGGCTCTCGCCTTAGCGCCGCGCACATTCGTTTCCAAGACTTGCAAGAGCTTCACGGATTAAGGGCGGTTCCATCCCAAAGTGTGGCTCTCGCCTTAGCGCCGCGCACATTAGTTTTCAAACGTTGCAACCGTTTCACGGATTGAGGGCGGTTCCTTTCCAAAGTGTGGCTCTCGCCTTAGCGCAGCGCACATCGTTTTACATAATTGCAGAAGTTTCAAGGACTCCAAGTGCTCAGCGTACCAGGAACTGTGTTTTGGAAGGCTTCAGGATGAGAGCGCAACAGTTACGTGTATTCGCGGAGTTGAAGTCCCAGGAATGGCGTTCTGGCGCGATTGCGGATCGTCAAGACGCAACAGTCAGATTGATCCATGGCGTTGGAATCCCGAGAACAATGTTTTGGCATGCTTCAGGGTCTTCAAACGGTTGTGTTCCAACGAGGCAGTTCCCTGTGGAAATGCGCCGTTGTAAGGGCCTGTAAAGAGGTCTTGGAAGAAGGATATTTTCCAACACCGTTGCTTACTCTTGGGCCTGGGTTTACACTGGTCCTCCTCCTCCTCCTCCTGTTCCTCCTGTTCCCTCGCTCCTCCCTCGCTCCTCCCCCTCTCCTCCTCCTCCTCCTCCTCCTCCTCCTCCTCCTCCTCCTCTTCCTCCTCCTCCTCCTCCTCCTCCTCCTCCTCCTCTTCCTCCTCCTCCTCCCCCCTCCTCCCCCTTCCTCCTCCTCCTCCTCCTCCTCCTCCTCCTCCTCCTCCTCTTCCTCCTCCTCCTCCTTCCCCCCCGCTCCCCCCGCAGCGCCGCGGCCACTGTCGAACTGGCTGCCCGCGCCTCTGCGTGCCAGGCGGCCGCGGCTGGCCCCGCCCGGGAAGGGTCCGCGTCGGCCTGCCCACGCGGGGGGGGGGCGTCTCCAGGGTGGACAGGCCTGTTTCGGGGGCAGGGGGAGGAGGGGGCGGAGGGGGACGAGGGGGAGGAGGGGAGGAGGGGAGGAGGAGGAGGAGGTGGAGGAGGAGGAGGAGGAGGAGGAGGGGAGGAGGAGGAGGAGGGGAGGAGAAGAGGGAGGGGGAGGAGGAGGGGGAGGAGGAGGAGGAGGAGGAGGGGGAGGGGAGAGGGGGAGGAGGGGGAGGAGGAGGAGAGGGGGAGGAGCGAGGGTGGAGCGAGGGAGGAGGAGGGGGAGGAGGGGGATGAGGAGGAGGAGGACCAGTGTAAACCCAATAGTCATCAACGATGTTGGAGTAAACCCTCCCTCCAAGCTCCATCTTCATAGGCTCCTACAACGGCTCATTTCCATTGATGGAACGGCCTTGTTGGAAGACAATCGTTTGAAGACCCTGAAACATGCCAAAACACCGTTCTCGGGATTCCAACGCCACGGATCAACCTGACGGTTACTTCTTGACGATCCTGAATGGTGCCAGAACGCCATTCCTGGGACTTCAACACAAATAATCAACGTAACTGTTGCGCCCGCATAATCCTGAAACCTTCCAAAACGCCATTTTGGTCAGCTGCTGATGGGAATCCGTGAAATTCTAGCACATGTTTTAAACGGATGTGCGCCGCGCTACAGCGAGAACCACACGTTGAACATGGACCGCTCTCAATCCGTGAAGCTCTTGCAAGTCTTGGAAGCGAATGTGCGCCGCGCTAAGGCGGGAACCACATTCTCAAAACCACCCGGTCTCAATCCTTGAAACTCTTGCAAAGGTTTAAAACGAATGTGCGCGGCGCTAGGGCGAGAACCACATGTTGAAAACGAACCGCCCTCAATCCGTGAAACCCTTGCAAATTTTTGAAACGAAGGTGTTCCGCGCTAAAGCGAGAGCCACAAGTTGAAGACCACCCGCCCTCCATCTGTGAAAGAAATGTTTCAGCTTCAAAATCATAAAGGGTGAGGAAGTCTCAGGCGAAACGCCCAGCCCGCCCTAAAAACTGGCCTCGGGGTGCGACAGGGAGAAATTATCTGTAGGGAAAAGGAATGGTGGAGGAGGAGGAGGAGGAGGAGGAGGAGGAGGAGGGGAGGAGGAGGAGGAGGGGAGGACAGGGGACGGGGCAATCCTTACTCCCCGATTGAACGGGCAATTCCTCTCTTCGTCGTCGTCGTCGTCGTCGTCGACCCATGCTGAACCTGCTTCGATTCATTACTTACTCCCCGATTGTCGCTCGCGCGCCGTATCTGACATCCTCCCCCTCCCTCCCACCCATCCCTTCCCAGTGCATTCCTAGAGGACCTTGATGGCCCCATCGTGTGATGCGCAATCAGTAAGGGGGCTGGCGGATGAGAAGGAAAAGGGAGATGCGGAAGGATGATGATAAGGAGGAGGAGCAGCAGCAGGAATAATATGATCAGCAGGATGACCAGGGAAGGCAGAGGGGGGGAGAGGAGGGGCACTGGAACGACGAGGAAGGACTAGGGTCCAAAGATGTGGCCCGCGCTCGAACAAGAGTGCCGTTCTGGACGACGGGAGAACAGAAACAGTCCTGACATGTGGCACCGTTTTTGAGGGACCAAAAGAGGTCCGATTAAAACAAGCAGCAGGGCACATCAAGTAACGGAATGCTGTGCGCGAGCAAGCAATACGCTGGAGAGGCGGACGCAAACCGGCACATTGCCAAGGGAGGGGAGAGTCACATCCTGTGATTGCAGATGGGGTGAGCAAACAGCATTGAAGAACATGCGACGGCGTGCACTACGCACCGTGCATCGCCCAGGATGCCTCCCAGAAAAGACGGCCTGGCAGCCTGAGGCCAGCCCAAGCAGCGTCCAGGCGAGCAGGGACACGGAGGCCTCCGGGGCCTCTTGAACGGGAGGGGCCCCAGGAAGGCGTGGCCCAGGACCGCCGCGAGACGGCTCCAGCGCTGGCCAAGACGACTCCGAGACGGCTCTCGGGGCAATTCACCCCAACGGGGCCCCAAGAGGCTCCCGAGAGGCTCCTGGGAATCACCGGAGAGGCTCAAAAGTTTACGCAACTCGGGCATCCGGCGTCCCCAAAATGGCTGCCACGCGAGGCGGCCACGGACGGCCTCCGAGAGCACAGAGGTGCCCCCTCCCACACCCCCAAGAGGGCGCCACAAGGCAGCCCCAGCGCAGCTCAAGACTCGCCATCGCTCGGACGTCGATTCCCCGTGCATGTTCCGTTTTCGCGCGTGTTTCTTGTTCTGCAGGATGATCCGGGATGCTCCTCAATGATCCCCGCGGAGAGAGAATGCGCACGACCAAGAGACGCCAAAACCTGTCAACGCTGCACCAGGGCAGCCCGAGGCGTTCCCGAAGCCGGGACGGCTCCAGGACGGCCTCGAAACCGAGGCGCTTCAGGACGGCCCCAAGGGTCCCCCGAGACGACCCGAGGCCTCCGACACGCTTGGCCCCCCCGCTACCCTCAACCTCTGGGCCAAGCTCCTTCCTATAGAGGGCAGAAAATCCCCCCCCCATACGAAGCACCCCGACAGGCGCAGCCTTCAGGACCCCAAGGGTCCCCCGAGACGACCCGAGGCCTCCAACGTGCTTGGCCCCCCCTTGCTGCCCTCAACCTCTGGGCCAAGCTCCTTCCTACAGAGGGCAGGAGATTCCACCCCCCCTCAGTGGGCCCGGAAACGGCAGGGCCGTTTTTTACCGTTGTCGAAAAAGTGTCTCTTGAAAATGAGAACGGTCAAACAAACGGCGACCGAAAACGGTAAAAACCCGGCAATGGAAACGATGAAAAAACGGCAACGAAAACGGCATCCGACGAGGGCGGAAACGGCAAAAAAATGGCGACCCCTGTCGGGATGCTTAGTACGGGCGTACGAAGCGCCCCGACAGGCGCAGCCGTTCAGCAAACGCACCCAGGGCAGGAAGCGAACAGGGCAGGGCTGCCTCGTAAACGCCCAGGGTTCTGAACGCCACGTGTCGGGGACTGGGCGGTTGTTCCTCCCCTGGTTCCTCCCTCCTCCTCCTCCTCCTCCTCCTCCTCCTCCCTCCTCCCTCCTCCCTCCTCCCTCCTCCCTCCTCCCTCCTCCCTCCTCCTCCTCCTCCTCCTCCTCCTTCTCCCCCTGCCCGCTCTTCACTCACTTCTCGCCCTTTCCCATGCCAATGTCTTCCTGCCTCCTCGAAGGGCCCACCAGCGGGGGCGCTCACGGACCCTCGCCCACGACCGGGCTGCAAAACAGCACCTGCTGCGGTCGAGGCGTGGACCTAAGGAACCCTGGCTAGGGAACGAGGCCCCTCTTTTCCCAGAAGCTGAACTTCGACCCCCCCCTCCAAAACTGAAGGGGAACCTCAGGCAAGGTGCGGAACCCCCACGGAACACCGAGCCCCTCCCCCGCGCAAAGGGCTCCCTCTGCGGCGCCCCGACGCCACCTCCGACGCCGCCCCTTGCGCCCCCCAGGGCGGCCCGCCCCTGCGCCTCTGCGCCTGGCCACCCCGCCGCGAGCCCGCGGCGGGGCGCGCGACGGGGCACCCGCCTGCTGCCTTCGCACCCCCGGCGCAGGCCCGGCCCTCCTGCGCAGAGGAAGAAGAACTGTGCACATGCACCGATTCTGGCCAGGCCCACCCTGAGCCCAGGATCGGTGCATACGCCCTCCTGCCCTGGCCAGGAAGGCAGGTGCACCGATCCTGGGTCAGGGCCGGGCCCTGCCAGGGTCGGTGCATGTGCACAGTTCTCTTCGCCCGAATTCGCTTTTTGCCCCATTCCGGGGGGGACTCGCTCTCCCCTCCCCCCTCTCCTCCCGCTCTGCCCGCTCCCGGGGGAACCAACAGGCACCGATACCACTACTCCCTGGGCCTCTCCTGGGACCTCCCCGCCCCAGGCGGTCAACCGCTGTCCCGCGTGGCCTCCGAGTGCCCTGGGGCTGCCATCGCAACGTCGTCGTCGTCGTCGTCGTCGTCGTCGTTGTCGTCGTCGTCGTCGTCGTCGTCGTCGTCGTCGTCGTCGTCGTGGTTGTCGTCGGCGGCGGCGGCGGCGTCGGCGTCGCCGTCGATCGTCGCCGTCGTCAAGGCGTGTCACTGCTTCCTGGGAGGAGGGATGACAGGCGGGGAGCGAGAAAGGATGAGAGGAGCAGCGGCAGGAGTGAGGAGGGAGGAAGGGCCCTCCTCTCTGCGTCCCGCCTCCTCTAATTCCTGCCTCCCCAGAGCTGCTCGCCGCTCTCCCCCTCTCCCTGCCATCCGCTCCCCCTCTCCCCTCCTCTCGCTCACATCCACATCCCCGCCCTCTCCCTGCCTCCTCCCCTCCCTCGCCCTCCCCTCCGTCGTTCTCCCCTCCCTCGCTCTCCCCTCCCCCCTCTCATCCCGCTCCTCCCGCTCCTGGGGGAACCAAAAGGTACCGATACCGCTACTCCCTGGGCCTCTCCTGTGGTGGGTTCTGACCGGGACTTCGGGGCGAATCCCTCGTCCTCCCCTCCCTCGTCCTCCCCTCCCTTGTTCTCCCCTCCCTCGTGCTCCCCTCCCCCTCTCCTCCCGCTCTTCCCGCCCCCCCCTCCCTCCTCCCCTCGCTCAAGCTCGCCTCGCCGCTCGCCACCGCAGCCACCGCCCCCCCCCCCGCTGCGCTGGGGCGGCGCTGGCCAGCAGCACGGCGAGCACCACGTGGCCAGCGGCAAGCAAGCCGCGCGCACACCTCCGCGCCCGAGCTTCCGTAACGCGGGAGGAGGAGAAGGGGGAGGAGGAGGAGGAGGAGGAGGAGGAGGAGGAGGAGGAGGAGGGGGAGGAGGAGGAGGAGGAGGAGGGAGGGAGGAGGGAGGAGGAGGGGGAGGAGGAAGGGAGGAAGGAGGAGGAGGAGGAGGAGGGAGGAGGAGGAGGAGGAGGAGGAGGAGGGGGAGGAGGGGGAGGAGTGGGAGGAGGGGGAAGAAGAAGAGGAAGAAGAGAGAAGGGGGGGGGGGGGGGGGGGGGGAAGAAGAGGAGGAGGAGGAAGAGGAAGAAGACGAGGAGGAAGAAGAAGAGGAATAATAATAATACTAAGAACAATACTAATAATAAGAAGAAGACGAATCATAATAATAAGAAGAAGACGAAGAGGGGGAGGCGGAGGAGGAAGAGGAGGCGGAGGAGGAGGAAGACGAGGAGGAGGAGGAGGCGGAAGAGGAAGAGGCGGAGGAGGCCGGAGCCCCCTAAACCAGGACATTGCCAACGAGGACGTCGAACACTCCACCCGGAGGGAACGAATCATGGAGATTGCTTCGACACGCGGCTGCAGTCTTCTCGGGCGTGCCCATGTCCTGAGTCATCGAAGGCCCCGCTCGGGGGGGCCCTGAAGAGGAGGGGCGAGGAGGATCCCGGGAGGGGTGACGAGGGGTGACGAGGGCGAAGAGTAGAGCAGAGGAGTGCGGAGGGGGAGGAGCTTCCTCCGAACGCAAGGGGAAGAGAAGGGATGATGACGACCCCGCAGGGGGGGAAGGAGGTCGAACAATGTAGAGGAGGGGAACGTGGAGGGGAAGGAGTTTCTTCCGTCGATCGCCCTCCCCCTCTCATTCGCACGTCCTCCAATACGCGTGCTCTCGCGGCACTGCCTCCTACCTTGTGCTCCATTGCCTCTCGCCTCCTCTTCCCCTGTTCTGCTTTCCTTCTTTTCGCTTGCCGCCCCCCCCCCCGAATAGCGAGAGGGGGTGACAGGAATAGAGGCCAAACATCGCACCCGCATGCTCATGAATCCCTGCCCCATACACTGCTTGCCCACCCCAGCACCGCCCACCGTGACATGACTGTGGCTGCTCTGGTAGTTGTCGGCTCGTGTCCCGGATGTAGTGGCATGTGCACGAAAGGGTCACGTGTTGTGCCAGGAGCAACGGTTTGATTGTCTGATGCAATCCAAAGCAAGCATGAGAACATCCTCTAACTCATTCGCCGACCACTTGGGGTCACCGGGATGTAAGACCTTTGCCCCTCCCGCACGGCCTCCTTCAGGAGGCCAGTGCGCCGCAAGCTTGGACTTTAGTTCTCACCCCCCCTGAAACATTGCTTCGTTTTGAATCCGGAGCACCGCTCGACTTACTCACTGCCCTCAAGGGTGGGGTCACCAAGGAACTGGGCCCACTAATGGGGTTAAGGCGTCCCAAGGCCATATCACCTCAAGTCCTCCCGATTCCGGCGCACCCCGCAGCCAGTGAGGGCGCCCGCATGCGTCTCCACGCCTAGTTCGGCACAGCCCTCGCACGGATCGTGGCCCCAAAGGGAGCTCCACCGACGAGTCCGGCGAGCGCGTTCACATGCGCCCCTCGCTCATTTGTCACAACCGTCGCCGAGCAGCAGCAGCAGCAGCAGCAGCAGCAGCAGCAGCAGCAGCAGCAGCAGCAGCCGCAGCCGCAGCAGCAGCCGCAGCAGCAGCAGCAGCAGCAGCAGCCGCAGCAGCCGCAGCCGCAGCAGCAGCAGCAGCAGCAGCCGCAGCAGCCGCAGTAGCCGCAGCCGCAGCAGCAGCAGCAGCAGCAGCAGCAGCAGCCGCCGCCGCCGCCGCCGCAGCAGCAGAGGAAGCGGCCGTAGCCGCAGCCGCAGCAGCAGCAAGGCGAGGCCCCTCGGAAGCACCTCCGGTGCACGACGGAGGGAGGAGGAGGAGGAGGAGGAGGAGGAGGAGGAGGAGGAGGAGGAGGAGGGGAGAAGAGGTGGAGGAGGGAGGAGGAGGAGGAGGAGTGGATGTTATGGATGGATGTTTGTGAGGAAGGAGGAGGAGGGGGAGGAGGACGGAGGAGGAGGGAGGAGGAGGCGGAGGAGGAGGAGGAGGGCAATGAATAGGAGGAGGAGGAGGAGGAGGAGGAGGAGGAGTAGGAGGAGGGAGGAGGGGGAGGATGAGGAGAAAAGAGGAGAAAAAGGGGGGAGGATGAGTAGGAGGAGGAGGAGGAGGAGGAGGCAAGAGGAGGAGGAGGAGAGGAGGGATGGAGAGGAGAGGAGGAGGAGGAGAGGGGGGAGGATGGGCGAGGGCAGGGAGGAGGAGGAGGAGGAGGTGGAGGATTGAGGGGAGGAGGAGGAGGAGGAGGAGGAGGAGGGGAGGAATCGAGGAAGGGGGAGAGGAGGAGTAGAGGGGGGGAGGGGAGGAGGAGGAGGGAGGAGGGGGGGGGAAGGAGGAGGGAGAGGAGGAGGAGGAGGTGGAGGAGGAGGAGGAGAGGAGGAAGAGGAGTCGGAGGAGGAGG